CTCCGCTGTGGTCCAGGGGTGGGTAGGTTTGGAGATGCACAATTCTTCAGTTCCTTCTGGTGATGGTAACCATTTCTGGTCTAGCAAGCATTCTCACAATGAATGGATCATCGTGTTTTATAAAGCACAGGAGATGGGTGATCGGCCTTCTGTTTAGGAACAAAGGAGATAAAAAGCTGTGGGATTTAGCAAATGGATTGTGAAAAATCAGAGTAGCCTTTAGCATTCCAGCTGACAAGTCTTGGGCTTAGTCTCATAGACTATTGTTGTTCTTCCAGACTAAATAATATGCCCATGAAATAACAAACCTTAAAGCATAGTAGTTTTAGTTTAAATTGCGTGTCACTTTTACTGATCTCTACTTTTTATTGTTAAATGGAGTGTGAGAAGCTAAAAGGCTGTGAGAAATCAGTAAGTGAAGATGGACTGTATGACCTGGTTTTGCTGGAGCAGGGATGTGTTTATTTCCTGAGGCTGCTGTGTTACAGAAGTTGTTTACAGGCTCATCTGTAATGACTGGAGTTTTCTTTTAAAGCAAATCAAAATGTTGTGGACATTTTATAGTGCTATTTTGCAGTGCTGTGGGGTGTAGCACTCTTTGCTACATATTCCATGTTTGCTCTGATTGCTGTAATGTCAGAGCATCTTCGAGGATTGCATATTTCAATGGAGCATACCTTAGTCACTTGTTTCTTCTTGAATCTTCAAGCCAAGAACTGTGTGTGGTGGCATTTACTTGTCAGAGTTTTTTAAAAATATATGTTCAAACTGTGCTTGACAGAGCAAAACAGAAACATTTGAAGATTTGTCCTGATAAGTGTTTTTGTACATCTGCCTCATTATTTTAGGTGTAATACTGATAATACCATAGTAACTCATGAGTGTGGATCTTGGGAGACTTCTGAAAATAACTTGTGGTCTTTTACTCCAAAACAATTCAGGAAGTAAGAGGATATGTCCTTCCAGTGCAGAAGGATACCTCGTCCATGTACAATTCTTCCATGTAAAACTCCAACTTGAGAAGGATGGAATAGAGAAGTGCTGCCCCTCTTTCTCGTTAGCTTCTCTTCGCAGTTACTGTATAAAGAAAGGAAGAGGACAGAGGGAAGATGAAGCTCTCACCTTTTCTCTGATTTGTTTGGGGGCAAAGCATTTACAGGAGTCATGCTGAGTTTTAACAGTGCAAAATTATCACAGAAGTCCTTTTGCTTCCCTTTATTAATGGCAACTTCAGTGATTTAGAGAGTACCTAGTGTGATACTATAAATACTAAACACATACAGTGTGGCTTTAAATACTGTAGTAGGACAAAAGGTTGGTAGTTTTGAAATGAGTTGAATCCTTGGCTGTTGTTAGAGCCATTGCAGAGTCTATCAAATGTAGGTTTTATTGGCTAGAAATTATGTGTTTGGCATCATTATAAAGAAACACTAGCAGAGCTGTTTCATACATAACGTTGCAAGATAATTGTAGTTGGTTGGCCAATATTTTTCATCATTAATTCTTGACTACTCTTTTTAGGTAGAAGGCTAGAGCAGTGTTTGTTGTGAGACAATGCTACTGAGACACTCAACAGGAATTTCTGTTTTTGAAGTACACCCATACTGAATTTTAGACATCGTAGAAAATTACCTTCCAGATTTTTTAAAGAAGTATTATTCTGTGTACTATAAATACAATGTGTTCCTTCATTTTTCTTTTATGTAGCACAGATTCAAAACTGCAATGTGGTAGTAGCCCAAGGTTCAGTCTTTTCTGTCCCGTGTTTCCTTTTGCAATCCTTAAAACATGTTTGTGTTCAAGATCTGCAGACCTAGCATTTTGATCTGATCCTTAAGATGTTAGGGTGCCGGGTAATGTACTTTCAACTTCTTTTTCTGCCATGCACAGTTCATTGCACCCTCTTAGGTATTACAGATTTTCAATATGTGACAGATTTTTTTAAAATATAGAATAGTGCTGCTAATTAAGGAAACAATAAAAGTGAACTTCCATCATATTAATACTATAACAATCGGGGGAGCAGACCCACTGTTCATGTATTTTTGCTTTAGTAACTCTTGTGTTGAGGGGAAAGGGAGAGACTAGGTTGCTGTCCAACATTACGGCTGGGACATTGACTTTAGAGAGGGATTAAATAGAAACTTGGTCACACTGAGTGTTTCAGTATTTTCTGAAATGATTATTGTATATGAAGTACATGTCCTCATGCATGAATGCTCTGTGCTTGTTTTCTTTTCTCGTTAAATATTGGAGAAGTATTTGGGAAGCAGCATTCCTTCAACAAGAGGGGAAGGTGTTTTTTCTCTCCAGACTACTGCTTGGCTACTTAAGCTTGGTTTCGTGATCGCTCCCAGGAGAGTGGGGGATGAACACCTTGGGTACTGCAGCTTACTCAGGCTGCAGTTTGTGGGTCTCGGTGGCTTCTTGGAGTGGGTGAGGCACTGGGCTTGTGGCCACTGGAGTGATGGACATGCTAATGTGAGTCTCATGAAGAGAGAAGGTGTGTAGCTGGGAGTATTTAATCTCAGTTCCTGAAGCACCTTTGGGTTTAGGAAATAGTAGGGGGGAGAGAGTGTGTGTGCTCTGTAATACTGAGTTATCTAACTCAAGAAGAAATCAGGTGTGGCAGGCTCCTAAGAGGTGAGGTCCCTAAGGACAGGTCTACATGGGATTTGCATGGTTATATATGATTTTCCAACTAAATAGAGGCAAGCAGTATGTGTGCACAGTGTAGTGCAGTGCCGTGCAGAATAATGCTAGCTTTTTGTGTCACCTTCATGTTCTTCAGTCACCCTTACTACATATGTACTATCTACTTCTTTAAGGAGCACTGTAATTGCTCAGCAAACTCAAAAACAATCACTAAGTATGAATGCAGATATAGGGATGATGCGTGTTTCAAAGCAGTCTCATGGCTTTTTAGTTTTCCTGTAGATCAGTCTTACTTTTTGCCTTTCCTAATAAGATTGAGCAATAATATAATAGAGCATATGCAGTGTATATTATACACATTATATGTTGTGTCATACATGATATATCATGTTATGAATAATACAATTTATTATAAAATTATATAGTTGTATAATAATTCAGCACTACTGAATGTTTAAATGTTCTTCTGTCATCTGCTTTTATATCAGTTACATTTTTGCAGTGTGTGTGATTTTTAATTTTTATTTTTTTTTTATATTGCTGGTAGAACTTGATAGCACCCAATACCACTTTCTTCTAAGCATGACAAGTGGCTGACACACCAGAAGGCTGTGCTGCCATTCAGTGAGACCTAGACAGGCTGGAGAGTTGGGCAGGGAGAAATTTTATTAAATACAGTAAGGGCGAGTGTAAAGTTTTGTAGCTGGGAAAGAACAACCCCAAGTGCCAGTGCAGGTTGGGGACTGATGTATTGGAGACCAGCATAGGAGAAAGGGACCTGGGGGTTCTAGTGGACAGCTGGATGACCATGAGCCAGCAATGTGCCCTCGTGGCCAAGAAGGCCAATGGCATCCTGGGGTGTATTAGAAGGAGAGTAGCTAGTAGGTCGAGAGAGGTCCTCCTGCCCCTCTACTCTGCCCTGGTGAGGCCACATCTGGAATATTGTGTCCAGTTCTGGGCCCCTCAGCTCAAGAGAGACAGGGAACTGCTTGAGAGAGTCCAGCGCAGAGCCACAGAGATGATGAAGGGAGTGGAACATCTCCCTTATGAGGAGAGGCTGAAGGAGCTGGGTCTCTTTAGCTTGGAGAAGAGGAGGCTGAGGGGTGACCTCATAAATATTTGTAAATATGTAAAGCGTGAGTTTAAGGAAGACGGAGCCAGGCTCTTCTCAGTGATGTCCAATGACAGGACAAGGGGCAGTGGGTACAAGCTGGAACATAGGAGATTCCACAAAATACATTAGAAAAAACTTTTTCCCTGTGAGGGTGACAGAGCCCTGGCACAGGCTGCCCAGGGAAGTTGTGGAGTCTCCTTCTCTGGAGACATTCAAAACTCACCTGGAAGCATTCCTGTGTGACCTACTGTAGGTGATCCTGCTCTGGCAGGAGGGTTGGACTAGATGGTCTTTTGAAGTCCCCTCCAACCCCTGATATTCTGTGATTCTGTGATAATGTAGCTGAACTAGTGAGCACAGTGAGAGCGCTCTCTCCTTGCTTCAGACAAATGCCAGCACATGTCAAGTGTGGCTCATGCTGCTGCCTCTGTTAGTCTTCTGTGGTTCTTGTGGCATGCCACAAGCAACAGCACTAGTACAAAATTTGATGCATGTGACAGAAAGAATGGGAAGTCATTAGTCCCTTGAGTAAGAGAGTTTGATCAACTTCTTTAGAGCAATTTACAGTCTTGGGTCACTGATTAGTTCTGCATTCTTTCAGGCAGTTGAGGGCCTAAAATGCTGGTTTATTATTTTTTGCTGACAGTTTTTCTTAGCTATACATTGCTTATGTGCTGCTGGGTTATAATAACCTGTTTATAGCTCTATTCAGACCACTCTGAATCTGGTTTCGAATTTTTACTTATTATTGACAGCGCATTGTGGTTTTTCTCATCTACCTCCAGGTGCAATTTGGATCATTAATTGAGGGCTTTAAGCTTTTGTTTTAAAGTTTTGGTCTTGGTGTTGTGAAACCCTGTCTGGTTTTGATGGGATTACTGTGTTCTTGCAACCAGCCAGCATGTTTCTCCCCATCCCTACATGTTAATTTTTAAAGTCCAGCATTATAGCTTCTCGATGGAGATCTACCACTGATGTAAAGCACTTGATTTTTTGTTTTTTTTTGTTTTTTTTAATCTTCCAGCACAGTTGTAAATAAAGCCTTATACTTCCTTAGGTGGTGTTAAATGCATTCATATCTTCAGGTTATGTTTGCAGTTTCAGTATAAGTTGAAGTCGTCAAAGGTTATTTCGAATTTGTTAAATCTTTTTTATGGGTCTTGTTTTCTAAGCATAGCAGGATGTCTGAAGAACTGCATTATCAATCTCCATTTTTCTCCCCCTCCTTCAGGTGTGAAGCAGCTAGCCCACATATTCATCCTGTTGGATGGTGTAAAGAACATAAAAGAACTCTAATCACCCCACCAGGTTTGTACCTTATTACTCATCTGAAATATTTGTTATAGTGAATTAGTAGCAGTAAAACTTGTGATAAGCTTATTGTTACCCTTCCTGAATTTTTTTTTTCTGTAATTAAGAATTTGTATTTGGGAAGTTATGATTTTTGTTTTACAGGACATAATATATTGAAAGTAGAAGTATAATAGATATTAGATGTTAAGTATGCACAAGTATGCTATTAAGTTAAGAGACAGCTGTCCATGGAAGATACCCCTTGGAATCTGAACTAGGTTGTACTTTTTGCTGAGTGTATTCACTTATTCTAAGACTCATGCTGTGAAAGTGCTGATAAAACAAATTACAGGTGTGTAAGGATGTTGCATAAGAAAAACATCTTCCTGTGAACTAAATATGCAAGATAATGAGTTGATGAGAAGATTTCCTTGTGTCATCAAGGAATCAAACTTAGAAAAGGCTCTTTGGAAGGGAAGAAAATAGAGTGAGACGATACAGAAGAATGAAAGTACATTTATTAGTATGAAATGTAAGACCTCTTCTTTTCAGAACTGTTGTGTATAGCTGGATGATCTAAATGTCCTGTTGCAGAAATTGGTATCTGTGGTCTGAGAATACAGACAATTTTGATTGGTTCAAACCCACTTTAACAAGAATTTCTAATAGCTGGAAGTCTTGCAAAGTCATAAGCAATTTATCTGCCAGGAAGTTAATTGCAGCCTGTTATTCAGTGAAATCCCTTTTAAACTAAATCAGAATTGGTTTTGTTCTGTTCTAGATTATGAATCATAATTTTTAAACTTAAAGTCAAGCTACTAGTAGAGATTAAAGGTGAAGGACAGGCACTGCCTTTTGTGTTTCTTTCATAAAGTGTTTGTAAGCATGATGCTTTCTCAGAAACATAACAGCTTCTTTGTTGATGTCTCTAAATTATTCTTACAGTAAATGTCCAGTCTATTTTTTAGACATTTAGTTAAAAAAAGGTCACTAAAAGAATAGCAGTAGTCAGGTGTGCTCTTCTACGGTACAGAGCTATCACTGATTAGATATTGTTTGCAAGTAAATTAGTTTTTTTAAAATACAGGATTAGGCTTAGAATACTTGAATGAATTTCTTGAATTAAGTGGCCAGATTTTTCGAGTCCACATTGTTTATATTCTAATATCCAAAGCAATTGTGATTTTTTTTTCTGCTAGCTGCTCATTACTGTGTATGAGGATATAGTTGGAGTTTTTAACCTGGTGAATGTGTCAGAGACAACTTAGAATGGCTTTTATTGTACTTATTTTATAAATCTGAAGCAAAAATCAGAACAGTATTATAAAAATGTTAGGCATTCTTTTAATTAAATGTCAGGTTTGAGTTTTGTACTACAATGTTTAATTTTTTTTCATATTTCTTCTGAACAAGATTATCCACATGCTAAGCATTTTTCTTGGGAGAAGTATTTGGAAGAAACCAGTTCATTACCTGCACCTGCAAGGGCTTTTAAAGTGGTGAGAAAATGCTTATATTTTTTCATGCTTTTAAGTACATATAATTAAGTAGTAGAGAAGAAAAGACATATATGGTGTTCCTGTGTTTCCCAGTGTATCTAGTTAATTAGCTGCATAATAGGTGGTTTACTTTCATGAAGATTTGTAGTTCACTGTAAGAAATGAGATAATTATTATTATAAATCACTATTACTTTATTATTTTAATCATTATAAATGGGATTAAATGATACAAAATATAACTAATGAATGTAATTTGTTATGGGCAATTACTGCCTAGTTATTAGAAATAATGAGATAGCTACTGAGCCATCATAACATATTTTGAGCATACGTATTTCTATTCGTACATTTTAAATGGTCAAGTAAATACAGTAAGAATGTAAAAATAATTGTAGGGGGTCAGTGTGGTTGCCTGTCTAGTCTACTGTCTCTGGCAGTAGCCAAGAGAGAATTTGTATTTAATGTTCTTCAGCTGGCTTTTTTTCTTCCACGAACTCGTGACAAGGGCACGTGGGCAGCATCAGCAGGCAGCTCCCTGGCTTAACTATGGTGCTTGTGGGCAACATCCTTTTCTTTTAGCTTTGTAACTGCTAGTTTATTTAAGTGACATCCATCCTTCTTGAGCTCTTAGGATTTCAGTGAGAAGAGTGGACTGGTCTGTAATGCAGAAAGGATTGCTGTAAGGAGCCAACATCAGCCGGCTGGTAGCCCCCAGCCCCTCGTCTTCATGGCACACTGAAGCTGGTTTGCCTTGGCTTTTCAGATTTGGGTCATTAATTCTGAGTAAGGCTTTGTTAAGAGCTGGATTAACGAAAGCAGAAACGTGGTGCTAAGAGCAGTTCTTGAGGTGGGGAGATCACCAGAGTTTATTACTGGCCTGCAGTTTGTCACCCCAAAATGCATCTGGCTTAATAACGTGTCTCAATCTTATGTTCCCAAAAAGAATAGTTGGAGCGAGGATTAGGAAAGTATTTGATTATAACTGAGATAGAGGTATCATCCTTGACTACATCAAGCCAGAAGCAAACGTTTTCTTTTCCTCTCAGAGCTTCTGTGAATAGCCACCTCATGGGGCTTGGTGCTGGGAGCATCCCCCAGTGGCCTGCAGCGTCCATCTGGCTGTGTCTGCACTGGAAAACTGAAAAGGACATGCCATGAGCATGCAGGCGTTGAGAGCATTAAACTAGGGGAGCACTGGCAGGTGTGCCTGACGAGCAGGTGGTGGTGCAGGTCCCAAAAGTTAGCACAGACAAGGCTTTGAGGATGGAAGGGAGGGAGAGCTTGACTGCATAAGGGCCAGCTGTGCTCTGCCTTTCGAATTCACAGCCAGAGAAAATCCCCTCCCTGCTTTCTTTACTAATGGAGTGGTAACAATATAAATGCTAATTGTGAGAAACTACTAGAAAGCAGATTTAGCAGAGGTAAAATGCCAATTGTGTTGGAGTTTGGGGGAAGTGCTCCTGAGATAGTCACAACATTTTGTAATATGGGAGAAATAGAGTTCTTAACTGCAGCTGAGGAAAAAGCACCCTTGGTCTGGAGAGTCTTAGGGGGACAGATAAGTTATTCTCCTAGAAATCCATAATAAAAACCATAACATGTCTTGTGCATATGTTCCTTTAAAATGCAATTAAGTTCTGCTTTAGATTTCATAGCTGTAGATGGTGATATTCTCAACAAAGACACATTTTTTGCCAAAATAGGTTACAAAACAGATATTTGGTCCTGAGGGAGTGTTTACTGTTATACCTTGGGTTGGATATACCTGATGTTTTCACTAAGAGACTGAAAAAGAATGTTTTATCCACAAAGCAAAAACACTTACTAAAACCCACAAATATCTTTCCTATAGACAGGGTGCTGGTATTTTATAGTTCATTTGAAACTGTTGGCTAAAATCTCTGGTAAAACCTTCTTACAGAATTTAGGAAAAAACCCAACTGATTTAAAATAAAGATCCCTGCTTACTTGTCGGAAGGCTTAAACCCGACATTTCAAAGTAGTTACTTCCTTTCTCTGGTGTAATAACACTGGTTTGAATGATCTTGTTATACTTGGGTTTCTTGGAGGGGGAGGGCAGATTTGGGAAAATGAAGGCAGAAAGTTTGCTACGGATTTTATGTGTTTTCCAATTGTGTGAGATTTTTGAGGTTTTCGCCTGTTTCACATAATATTGTTGTTCTTTTCTAGAAACCTTCTCATGGCTTTCAGAAAAACATGAAACTTGAAGTGGTTGACAAGAGAAATCCAGTATTCATCAGAGTAGCAACTATTGTAGATACTGATGACTATAGAATAAAAGTAAGATTCTCTGTCCTACTGTACTATCCTGCTTGAATGACTGATGAGTACTTTGTAAAACCAAAGTACAGTAATTGTAAAATTAAGCACAGGGAGAAAAGAGTCACATTGCTGTGTCTTGCTAAGCTTTTCACTGATTAATATGCATATAATTCCTTTGGAAGACGATGTTCTATTATCCTCTTAGTTACATTTGCTGACGTATGTCAGAATGGAGTTGACTGTGTTCAAAAGTTGCTTTGGGAATAGTTGATATAAACCAGTTGCCTATTCTGTCAAGAAATGTGGTGATTTAATATTAAGTGTTGAAGGGCTACTGTCATATTTGTATTAAGGCCCATAAAGTGTCTAGCCTGGGTTAATTGAATCTTTCTCTATAAACTTCCAGGGAGAGGAGAGAAATATAAGCAGATATGAAAAAAAACTCTGATCTCTTATGTTTTGTCAGTGACTTCTGCAGTTCTGAAGTTTATGTTAGTTACAGACTTTAGATTAGTCTCAGATAATGTATTTTTAAGTAATTGCAATTTTCCAGTTGTTGCATATTTGAAATATTTTTCTTCAGCAGTTTATTCTCTGCAGCCCTTAACCATTAGCAGGGCTAGCATATCCAGTTAGATACACAGTTACCCAGTTATATCTGGACCGTATCCATATATTCAGATAGATGGATATGAAAGATATTTGTGTATTGAGTTTATACAGATTGATTAGGCATACATGGTTTTTAAAGCAGAATTGCAGATGACATTTCATTTTGAATCTGAATTAACTGGTGGTAGGGAGTCCTGAGAACTAATATTTTCACACCTATGCATTTTCTATCTAAACTGTAAATCGGAAAACAAACCAAACAAAACAAACATATCTCCAGTCTAACTTACTAAAATAACAGGATTTGTAGTTTCCAGGCTGGTAATTTGACTCTGTAGCGAACGTTGAAAGAGCTCTGTATGTATCTGTGTGTGCATGTATCCACATGCGCACGTTCTGTTTACTACCAGAGAGGTCAAGTAAGATTTGAAGATACTTAACTTTCACCTAAAAAATAATGACGTGTAGCTCATACAGGTGGTTTTCTGTGAAGTCACATGCTTCATTTTCTCTTCAGTTTCAACTCTTCTATGGTCCAGTTTTAATAAAACTGTTACATGTATGTGGGGGGAAGGGTTGTTTGTTTTTTTATGAGTAAATGCCAGGTTTTTAGGCCTTTGATTACTGCTCTGCTATTATTAAATCCTAGTGGAACAGGATATTAAAAAAAAGATAGTAATTCAGGCTTAGTTTAGTATTAATGTGACACTTAAACTTGCCTGCTTTATTCCTGGGTTTTGAGCCTGGTGTTGCAAGACACAACCAAATGACACCACTCTCTTTACTTCAATGAGAGTATGACCATGTCCAGAATCTAACATGCGTGTATTTTCTATGTAACGTTGGTAATTCTCTTAAAGTACCTTCTCTAATGGACATACTGTAGTTTTTAGAGATTACGTAGGAAAACTGATTTTTTTAGAGAATTTTTCTGTTCTAAAATGCATTGTTCTCCTTTTTGATTTTAGGTCCATTTTGATGGCTGGGATAGTATTTATGATTATTGGACCGATGTAGATAGCCCTGATATCCATCCTGCAGGCTGGTGTACGAAAACTGGACACCCTCTTCAGCCCCCACTTAGTAAGAGAAATCGCATTATAATTTAACAATGTTAAAAGCACGTGTACCATGCTATCTTCTTCCCTGCCAGTGCCATAAAGGAAGAGTAGCAACTAGGATATGCAAAAAAATGTAAATGTGACATTTAGTGCAAAATCAACAGACAGTAGTTAATCACTTTTTAGTAGATAGCTTTATTGACACTTACTGTAATGGAAATATGGTGTTTGTCTGTATGCACAAGAACCACAAGTGCTGAATGTAACTCACAGCTGTAACTGAGACCAGAAAGAGCTGTGCTTGGAAAATAAGAAATGCTGAGCCATGCAAAGTACTCTGAAAAAATTAAATGTAAAATAAGTGGGGTAAGGCACACACAGATTGTGTGAACATGTTACCTGTGCCTCAGTTCAGCATCTCTAAAATGTCAAGAAGAAAAGTTTCCAATCAAGAGCGTGATCAGAGTATATTCATTAGTTTTCTGAGCACTCCATAGGTACAGTGATAGCTGCCTGTTAGGAAGTTAGTCATTCTGCTTTCAAAGCAAAAGCTGAATAGAGTGCCCTGAGTGCCAAAGCACAAAGTGAGTAGTGAGCAGAAGATAGGGTGCTGCATATCTGCTTCTTAATCTGTGATGTGCATCCTTGTACGAATGAAGGAACAGTCCACTGGGGAAGAGCAGTCTGTGGGCACATGAATAAAAACTGGATGAAATGGCAAAAGATTAGCTTGTGATATTTGTGTTACCTGAGATTGAAAAAAACCCAACAAAAATGAAAAAACGTAGCCTCAGCGGGAGCATAAAATGCCTAAGTTGATTTTGTTGCAGACATTAAAAGAAACAAAATACAGGTGCAAATCACATGCAACACATCGTCTCTTCTAGGTGGTGGTGTGGGAGGAACTGTTCATCTCTTTTAGCGTGTGACTGGTGGAAATGGCTTTTTGGTATGAGTTCAGCTGCAGAACCAGAGATGGACGTTGTAACAGGAGAGAAAGTGACCATCTGATAAACAAAAAAAGAATAATTAACTGCACAAATACAATTAATATAGGATGATTACTGAGCAATATATTCTTCCAACAGTATGAGTTTGTGTTATTACCATAGAATATGGTGTAGAATATGGTACAGAGTATAGAATATTAAAAAAATACTGTTTTCAAGTAAGTTAAAGTGCACTTCAGAAGGTTTCAGAAGGAGGAAGGAAAATATTTTGCAAGACACAATATTTTTTCCTCAGTCAGTAAGATAGTCCTTTTAAGGATGTGGTCCAGATGCCTGTCTTTAACACCAGAAGCTTGGTTTCAAAGATGCACGATGTTAGCAATAGTAGTCTAGAGCTATCATTGTAACGGTCTTACACTCCCAGTATTTATGTATTCATAATATTTTCTCTTAAGATGTCATAAAGTTGACATAATGGATTATGACCGTTTTGATAGCAGTTAAGGAATTATGAACCATGTATTGATGTTGATTTTAATATCGTTCCACAGTGACACAAGCAGCAGCTTCTTGCATAAATATGGATAGCTAGTTGCAACTTTTAAAAATTACATTTTCAGAGAGTTTTAATTTTTTGAGTGAAGAGAGAACATTGTAGGGAACTAGTTTGCGCAAAATCAAAGTGAGACGAGTTCCCTTTATGAAAGTGCCCATAGTAAGTTAATTCTTCCTCTGAGTCCGCTAACTTGGTACGTTACAGGCATCAATTCTGTATAAAGGTAGAAAAGATAGAATTCCCTTTTCTCACATATGTGACACCATTTTAAAGCCTATAGAAGCCTTCAGACTTGTGTGGTCATAGTGTTGTAATGTTAATGTAATTGGAACGTTTATTAAAAATGCTTTTGGGCCGTACTAATTACGCATAATATTTCTGTGTCTTTCATTATCTATCTGCCAACAAGAATCTTATCTTTCCTCTGGGAAAATTCATTTAAATAGACCTTTTTATGTCAGGATTGTTATCTGTAGGGGGAGGTACAAGTTCACGTACTTTTCAAGCAAAGCCAATACTAGAGAGACAGTTCATTTGCAGAAGTGCAGCAGATTTTCTCAGTTTCATGTACTGGATTAAGTCTTCCTCTCCCTTGCTCTGAAACTATGGGTTATATACTGTGTTTGAGTGTCAAAGCTAGTTTTGACAGCTGCATGCTTTAATGTGTCTGCGGGCGTCATTGTTACAGGTTGATGGTAATCAGATAGACTCATCAATTCAGATAACTAAAAATGACAAAAATCTCCTGATGGCTTGTTCTTTTCAGTAGTGTTCTCAGCCTTTCTTTTCTCATTGTGTTCACTGGAAAACTACAGCTAAAACTGGAATTCAGTACCCACCACAAGCAGATCCTGATCTTCAGGAACAGTAGCATAACTTACTTTGTGCTCTGGCAAAAAAGCCAGGTTCCAACTGTGTAGTCAATAGGAGAGAAATTTGAAGTCATGGAGCTTCTCCAAGATTTGTGTTCTTTATATAGATGTAACTCTCCTGTAGAGATTTACTTACACAGAATAAAGTTATTTCTTCAGTGGATTAGATTGTGTGAATCTCCATTATGCTTTTGCAGAATGCATTTTTAAAATACTTTAAAATTAGGTTTTGTTTACTTACTTCTTCATGTTTACTGTGTTACTCTGGTATTCCTGCATGTTTGTATAACTTTTAAGGGTTGGATACATTTTTTTTTTTAATCTCCCATGTAATTTCCCCTGACATGCAGGTCCCTTGGAATTAGTGGAAGCTTTAGAGCATGGAGGGTGTCCCACAGCAGGATGTAAAGGAGTTGGGCACATTAAAAGAGCAAGACATATCGGCCATCATAGGTATGTGCTATGAAATTGTAATATTCTTTCAAATGAGTTATGTGTGCGTGTGCATTTTTTTAATTGTTGTTCACAATCCAAGCTGGCAAAAAGTAAGAAATCTTGTAAACCTAAATATGCAATGATTTCAGTTGCCATGGTGAGCATGCTGAAATAAACATTAGCAATCTGTAACTTCATTTCACCAGGGTGTGCCGAGATAAGAGTTGTCGAACATCATTTTTTTGTCACAATTGGTAGATTCAGTTACTCTGTATTTTGTTCCTATGAGGATTCCTGGGCTTGCTGTTCAGATTGCAAAATGTTGCAGATAGATATGTATAAAACAATAACTCTTGAACCTTTTGAAATAGAGGCCACTGATTTTATTACAGCTTGGATAGTTTTTTTCTGCTTGATTGGTAGCAGTGAAGATTTACTTGTTGGCTTGGAAAATGCTAAGAAGGAAATTCTGTTTGACATAATTCCCAAATGACAGCCTGAACAACTTGGTGTTTATACCTAATGTTTTTTAAAGATGCTTTTGTTGAACACCTTCTGAAATACAATACAGAAATGTGGACATCCTAAGCTGTCCTAGGGGACAAGTGTCGTAGGGAAAGCATGGGAGAATGGAAGGGGGCACAGAGAGGCAATGACAAAGTAATTGGGAAACATTTACAATTTTATTATTTTTAAAGTATTTACAGTATGAGGTGGATCCTGAACATTTCAGTAAAGGACATACAGTTAATGTTATATATTGTTATAATGTTATATAACCTCATGAAGTTCAATAAGGACAAGTGTCCTACGTCTGAGGAGGAATAACCAGGCATTAGTGCAGATTAGGGGATGTCCTGCTGGAAAGCAGCCCCATGGAGAAAGACTTTGGAGTCCTAGTGGACAGTAAGTTGCCCATGGGACAGCCATGTGCCCTTGTGGCCAAGAGGGCCAATGGGATCCTGGGGTGCATTAAGAAAAGTGTGTCCAGCAGGGCTAGGGAGGTTCTCCTCCTCCTCTACTCTGCCCTAGTGAGACCACACCTGGAATACTGTGTCCAGTTTTGGGCTCCCCAATTCAAGAGAGACAGGGACCTACTGGAGAGAGTCCAATGGAGAGCTACAAGGGTGATTAAGGGACTTGAACATCTCTCCTATGAAGAGCGACTGAGAGACCTGGGGCTGTTCAGCCTTGAAAGGAGACAGCTGAGAGGGGACCTTATTAACGTGTATAAATATCTGAGGGGTGGGTGTCAAGAGGAAGGGGACAATCTCTTCTCAGTGGTGCCCAGTAATAGAACAAGAAATAATGGGTTTAAGCTGGAACACAGGAAGTTCCACCTCAACATGAGGAGAAACTTCTTCCCTGTGAGGGTGACAGAGCCCTGGCACAGGCTGCCCAGAGAGGTTGTGGAGTCTTCTTCTCTGGAGATTTTCAAAACCCGCCTGGACGCGTTCCTGTGTGGCTGCCCTAGGGGATCCTGCTCTGGCAGGGGAGTTAGACTAGATGATCCCTAGTGGTCCCTTCCAACCCTGAATATTCTATGATTCTATGTTTCTATATTAATTTGAGTATTAAGTATCATAGGTATCATCCTATTACCTTTTTGCAAATTAGAGCTTCCAGAATTTTTCTTGGAATTTTTCCATTGCACAGTCATACAATGCTTGAATGTTATATCAATTTGTGCTTTCTGTTCTCATATCGTTAGAGGATTGCTTTTTGGTTATTTGTCTATTCATGTTTTTTAAGTATATTATAAAACTACCATGATCCATGAGTTAGCTCTGCAATCTTTTCATGGTTTTGGTGAGGGAATTACATCCCGTTGACTAGAATCATGCTGTGAGGTTTTGATGGTGTATCAGCACTGGTTGAAGTCCTGACTCATCCCTAGCAAAGACACCTGCCAGCAAAACTCAGTGTGTTGTTATGCATTCAGTGTGCAAAATGCAACTTTTGCTGAAAGAAAGGCTATCCTACCTACAGCAGAGGCTGTAGAGTAAAGAAATGCGTCAGAAAAAAATTAAATTTATGGTCTCTCCCCATAAACATGAGCACTAAAATGTCTAATGCTACACAGGGAAGAGATGAGTAAGAGCTCTGTGTGTAGTTAGTTCATGGAGCCTTTGCTTTTATTACAGGATTTTCGGTGGTATTGAGATATGTTATAACTACTCATCCTGAATATTAAGAAAAGAAACAAACTCATGACAATCTATTGTGGTTTACTTTTACTGTGGTCTTAGCAATTCTACTGTTTGCACATTAACTCATAGTTCTAGGGGATAAAAATAAAACAGAAGAGATTTTGTTCATAATAAGAGGTATTTTCTGTTTCCTAACAAATAAATTAACACTATTAAATACCTTACTCGCTAACTGTTGATTTCCCTCTGTGCTGTAGTTGTTGTTTTTTCTTGATCATTTCTGAATAAAATAATGAGATTTATTATTTATCTGGAGTCAACAGACTTGTGGATCCAAGTCAACCCAAAAATTCTGATGTTGTACCATCACTTTTTTCCTGAATTAACAAAGACATTTTGAAATTGGTATCATTATCCATGTCAGGTAGCAGTCCCTTAGCTCTTTTATCTTGGCAACCTTGAAATGTATTTAGCCATGCTTATCTTTTTTTTTTTCATGTTGAGGTACAACGTCTATCTACAGAATAAATGCCTGTGTGCAGAAAAGATGATAATTTAAAATCATTTTGAGAGCTTGTTCCTTTGGAGCCAGATGAATGCCTCGGTGATTAATTATGTGGTGGGGTTAAACCATTTACTTTTTGGAAAAGTTGATATTAATAAGGGCTTGCTATCTAGCACCAGTTGATCTAGAGTTTTCTGCTGCTCCGCTGAGACTGAGATTAGTGTGCAGGTTATTAGCATTATGCACATTGCATGTTTGTAATGAGTTGTATGCTCTCTGGTGTTTAATGCATGCAATAATTTTTAAGTTGAAGCAGTAATGGAAAACAATCAGTTGTAAACATGTCATTAGTGTTCTGAGTCAACTCTTCATGAATAAAGTTTTTTACCAGAAACTTTAGATGTCTTATGTGTAAGTTCAAGTGAACTGAATGTGCCGTGATGGAGGCTGTGTTCTAAGAGAAACACAGCACAGGGACGTGGCAAACCTCAGCTCAGTGGGATGTCGAATCTGTTCATTCAGTGGCTGCTGAAGTAATTTTTGCCTGATCTTGATACTATTTTCAAATTTCATGTTATCTTTTATGTAAGGTCAAATGCTAAGGACAAAGCTATTCTTGAGTCAGTTTAGACTGTTGAAGCAGCTTTCTCCAAAAAAAGAATGCTTTGATGATAAACATGCGTTTTCAGTTGTGAAAGAGAACATTTGTATCACTTGTTTCCAGACTAGTTAAAAATGTTTTCATAAAGTCAACTGAAATAAAGATATCACTTGACAAGACTTCAGCAGAAGAAAAGAATGCATCTTCTGGATGTTGTTAGGACCTTTTTGCTGGAGATTTCTTACTAGTCATGCATCACTACCAGCAGATGTGGTCCTCTGGACATGAGCTGCTCTAGAAAAATCTAATCCATCAGTAAGTCAAATCGATTTGTTTCACCCATCAAAGAAGATAGTTTGAGCAAATCTGGGTGAATTTTTCTGGAGCTGGCATACAGCCTCATCCCCTGGCAGTGCTTGGCAATAACCTGCGCCTGAAAGGCAGTGAGGAGCTGGGCTTTGTAACATTTCCAAGCAGTACAGCTAACCAGGAGGTTTAGCTGTGGCTTCACACAGGTTCACAAAACATTCCAAGCCGTCATAAAGGCTAATAATATATATCTAAAAATACTTTAATATTAACTTTCTTTTACCAAACAGAGTACCACTTTACTCTTCTTTAGGTTAGGAAAGAATGCTGGCTTATATTCTCTTCTGCTGTTCAGTGTAGCTAAGGCTGAGTAAACCAGCTGTGCTCTGTGCTTCAGAAGCTTTGCATAGTACTAGAAGGTCAGAGCATATCCATATGTCTAGTGAACACTAAGGTCCATGCCCACCCATGTGAGTTTTTCTTACTACCCTTGAACTTTAGAGGAGAAAAATATGTGTGTAAACTTACTTAGAGGTAGATGATGAGAGTGATGGTAGAGCACTTGCAGAGTAACGGCAACTGGGATGTGCTATCTTGGTAATTTTGTTTGCTCAGACAGTTCTGGAAAGGGATGGTTATGTAAAGCCTCTGTTGACTTGAAAATCCCAGGCCTGTGATCCCAGAAATTATTCAGAATGGTATACAGGAAGTAACAACTGATGTGTTGGATTTTTTCCTTTATTGATCTTTCCAGATTTGATTAAAACAAAAGCTTATTTTAATGCTCAGTTTTTACTCAGCCTGTGCAGGACTCTGAGAAGAGTGGCTCCCTTTCCTCAGAACAATGCGCTACGGACACGCATATTGCCAGCTGCTGTGCTGCCGTGTCAGTAGGACGCAAAGCGTACTTCAGATAGCTCGTGTTGATTCATCAGCATTCAGAGGTGGCTGATTACTCTTCTGTGTGGGAAGGGTCGGGTGGTATTAATGTGAATAGTTGTTTACTGAAATGTGGGTTGAGCCTGCTGAAGCAGCTCAGATGGTGATTGAGTATCTTCATGTTGGATTGATTTTAAAGCTGTGAAGCGGTGTTGGAGGATGTTACAGCCCTGTCAGATGTATATGGCAGCGGTTTCAAATTGGGTACCTGCTGCTGCTTCCGCTTCTTGCCATGCTCCTCGTGCCTCTGACAGACCTTGGTACCCCCAAGTCAAAGACATCTGACCATTCTGGAAATTGGCTTCTGAACATCTGTTTTCAAAATAGTGTGTTAAGGCAAACTGCAAGCTGGAGCGGAAATCCAGGTTTAAATTGACAGAAGAATTAAAACCCCTAATTTAATATTAAGTATCCTAAGTATCAAGACTCCTAAGCCCTTGTGATGAGTTGTCTTTAAAACTTAGTCCTGTATAAATTGATTACTTCTATTATGTAGCAATAAAAGATTAATTTTTTATTCTTTGTATTAGACCAGTTAAACTGAACTGAAGGCTGGAGGCACTGAGATGCAGGAGGATTTACTGTTTGATATGAAGCTATGTAACTCATACACAGGTTGATTCATGCTGTGTTTTGTTACAAGAAAGCTACCAGTGGAAACCTTGAGGATTCTTTTTGTTGCCCCGAATAATAGTAACATCAAAGAACTATCACAAGTTTTTTAAAAGTGATACAGCAACTTGAATGATTAATTACAATGAAAAGCTCATCTGAATCTAGTATTCTAAAGCATCATTAACATTATAACTATCGTTGACTGAAATTGCCATTCAGCTTGTGTTTCCAGGAGATGCTAAATGAAAAGGCAGCATATAAACAGGCAAGTTCTAATGAAGCACTGAATTTTGAGGCTTTAGTGGTGCTGTTAAACGTAAGACCAGCTGGAGATTAGATTGTATTGTCAGATTTCTTGTGGTCGAAGGCTTGTTTAATAATACACAGCTGAAGTTAAATACTGTATTGGTAGTGTTTAGACAACCCTCTAACTGCTTAAAAACTCTAAGCCTCAAAACACCCCTGTGAGCTTAAGAAACCAAAAGAAGATTGCATGTTTTGCCTTATAGCAATGACAGATCTAAGATTAACCAAAATATTCCTGAGTTTCTGATAACTGTATTTCATCACAGTGGTATGAGTTTGTCACAGCAAGAACTTAAATCCCATTAGCATTGGCTCCTTTAAAGCTTTTTCTGAATAGAAGCCTGTGTCTTTCACCTTGTAGTTCATTTGAAAGGGAAAAGGGATATCATTGTGACAGAGGCAGCAATCTAAAAAATTAAGAATATAAAATAACTTCGCCTCTTTTTCTGGTATTCCTCTTTTCTTCCCCATCTTTCAGTGCATGTTTTTTTTTTTTCTTTTAAGATGTCTGGCAGAGGCTAGTCCTAAGATAGACAAAACCAATAGGTTGAAAATTAAATGTGAGTGTAGGTATATAAATAAATCTAAAATGAAATGCCTAATTCTGCTTAAGAGAAATTAGAAATAAAAGTTAAATTTTTTCTTTTTTCTTTGTATATTCTGTTCCATGTATTCAAAATATTTTCATTAATAAAAAAATACTCTATTTCAAATGCAGTGCTCTAGAGTGCAGCTACCCATTTGGCTATATCTTATTCTTTGAACTTTTTATATGAGGGTTCTCAGGGCAAAAAACTTCAGTGCCTGCATCTCAGAGGAGGTTCGGGGACTACCATGCACTTCCTCAGAAGAAGGGAAAGACAGCTGCTCAGTGTAGCACCTCTGGGATGACTGTTAGGTCCCTTGAAAACACTTGTACAGGCTGCTGCCCAACACTATCTGCTTGGGATGGCCTTAAACGGGGATTTCATCTTGGTTAGAAAAGCAGAAATCATTTTCTCCTGGCATGTTTTTCCTCCATAATTCAGGTTCAGCACAGCTGTACAAGGATTTAAAAAAAAAAAAAGTTGATAAGGTCTTGTTTTCAAATGAACCAACTGACAAAACCAGCCGTGCTGTTGGACGACTGTGCTGACAGCCCCAGCAAGGACTGACTGACTTGGCCTGTGTATACTTAAGGAATTTTTTCTCTTTTATGCTAGTGCTGAGAGAAATGTTAACTTCCACCACTTTTTGTGATGTTGCTAAGACCAAAATTATATTACTAATAATGATCCAATCTTATGGTAGGGGTTGATTCATAGACACTGAATCCAAATCCTGTTCACCAGTAAAAGAAAAGGAGAGTGTATGGCATATTTTGAATAAAAGGGCTTTTTTTATCCTGTACTTTGTAAAATGAACATGATAATGAAATCTCTTGGTTGTTTTTGTAATTTGGAGGTGCCAGGGCATGTGACTGACCAGGTAGACTTGCTTATATTAGACAGTTCTGTTAGAAAATCATGCATGTAACAATGAGTGAAACAAATGCAACATTGCAGTAGTTTATGGAAAGGCAGTAGTTATATTCCTGAGAAAATAAACGAAATCCCAGGAAACCGATTTTTTACATTTTACTGTTGCAGGGGTCCTGATGATAATACAGGTGAGTAGGAAAGCCTGATTTTAGATTATAGTTAGTGTCATGGCTCATGAGCCATAAATAGAGCATTATGTTTCCTACAATCTCTCCTGTATCCTAGAGGTTTGGAATCTGAGCATTTTGTTACTCACTGTTGTGGCACATATATGCCTTTCAGAATATGGGATATTATTTTTGAAGTCTGAGCATACAGCTTGACTAACTACCTGAACATTGCATCGCAGTCTCCTAAAGACAAATTCCTAGTTCAGCCCAGTGCATTTTTGTGTTTCTGTTCTTTCCTTTCCTACCTCTTCTGGGAGGTACGACTTCCACATTTGTCACAGGAATATCTACAAGTCATTTTCAAAGTGCAGTGTCAAATTCTCTCTTTCTCTAGTTGGAGCATAGTGAAACAGGGAGTGCTGAATGATAGGAACGACTGTGAAAATACCACAGTCTGTGGATGGAATATCACAAAACGGCGTTTGCAAAGATAAGGCAGGCACTGCAGTTAGAGGCATTCCTTATACTCTGCCCTTGCAATCCAGCTTCTTGGTGGACATCACATAATAGGAATACCCTCCTTTGCAGGTAGAATAACCATGGGAAATGATTGTGTGTGGGTATCATGAAAGGCATTGTGTATGTTCTATGTAAAATACCATTAAAGATGTGAGAGAACAGGCTAAACATTCATGAAGTAGTTTTCCTGAATATATGCTGTAATATAAATTATTGCAATTTCTTTTACATAAGTTGCTGTCAAAAGGAAGTGCGAAAAACATTCAGATTGAGGGTTTTTATGAGCAGATTTATTAACATTTTAAAGTATGATGACTTACTGCGTTTTTTCCCCTTTATATTAATTGATTGCATATGGTTCTAGAAAACTGGTCTCTGTTGTCACTTCATTTGAACTGAGCGAAGTCAATCAAGTGTCTGATAATGAGGAGTTATTTCTCTTCTTCAACTTGTAGTGCAGTCAGCTGCCCGTATTCAGAGATGAACTTGAACAAAGAAAGCCTCTTGCCTGACCGGTTGAGTGGGGAGATGCCTCCAGCCAGTCCTGTCCCCAGAAACAGAAAAGTGGAAGCGAGTGAAAGATCCACCTCTCCTGTAATCAAGTAATTACGATCAAAGCGATGATGTGCGCGACTAAGAGCAGTACTGTATTTCGGTGTTCTGCAACATAGTTTGTAGTTGTGTAATGGCTGAATTGTTTTAGAAAGGCCTGCCTGTTTATCTGCATTTTCATTTACAGGGAAGAAATGGTTTCATCAGTGCTTACTGAGAAGGTCACTGAACTGTAGAGGCTGGTACTGATTTACTGTGTATGACTTTAACAAGAGTTCTGTTTCATCTTCAGTGTAACTATCTAGACTATTAAGTGTTTAATTGGAATTTAAAATGGATTGTTTATGAGTTGGTTTCACTTAAGAAAATTACTTGTTTGTGGTTTTATTACTTGCAGAGTTATTGAATTGATCAGGCATTGGGATGCACTGCCCAGGGCAGTGGTGGAGTCACCGTCCCTGGAGGTGTTTAAGGAGAGGCTGGATGTGGCACTTAGTGCCCTGGTCTGGCCAGTGTGGTGGTGTTGGGACATAGACTGGACTTGATGATCTCAGAGGTCTTTTCCAGTCTCATCAATTCTGTGATTCTGTGAATTTATTGACTGTAAATTAATGTTACTCTTTGGAGAATAACCACTATAAATCCTGTTGTTATTGTGGGAGTGGGAAGTGAAATTACTGGGACTGGGTGTTGCAAGAATGATGCTAAAGTCTGTAGCTGAAGCTTCAAGCAGGAGCACTGGGAAAACTAAAGGGATGTGATCCAAAGATAATTCTCAGATGATGATTTTCTATCGGAAATCGTGGATACCAACTCCTGTGTTTATTTTGGGCTGTGGGGATATGTAGAGAATTTAAGGAGGAGAGGAAGAGAGGCTTTCCATTCTTTTCAAGGGCTACATTAATGTAAATGTGAAAATGTAAGTGTTTGTAGTGAGGATTTCAAGATCCCACTGTACTGACCACATATTTTCAATACATGGAATTTTAAACTACATTCTCAGAGATAGTTTCAGCCTCATACCTTAAAAACCAAAATATTCAGCTGTCAAAAAGGACTGCCTGGTTTGATTATTCTTATAAATGTAGGATCATAAATCTGAAGTGACTTAATTACACTTTGGCAGGTAGTCTGGGTACCATCCCAGTGAAGCCAGTAGCAGTCTGGGCTCTGTTCACTGCAGCAGGAACTGTGTCAAGGGCTATTCTTTTCATTGTTCCAATTCAGAGACTGCATAACATTTTTAAATGGTCCTGGCTGCACAGTGATATGTCATGGAAGGGAGAGAAGGGATAGGAGGAAAATGTTGCTTCAAGGATTTCTTGTGTTACAAATGCTTGAAGTGGATAGCTTATTAACAAAAATAACATTAGGCAAGTGTTCCTGTTGAATTGCCTAAACGTTTACCTTTGATCTGAAAATCCTGGGCATATTGTTTTGTTAGTGGCAAGTAAACAACTTGTGTATTTCTTAAAATAACAAACAAAAACCTTGTGTATCTTCAGTTACACTAATGACTTTTTACCTGTAGAGAGAGTAAGTTGAACAACAACTCAGCTCCTTTCAGTTTTAAACATTTACTTTATTTGTTTTAAACAGTGACAGAAAGTGCCCCAGCCCTGGTCACGTAGGTGTGAAATCTTCGGCTCACAGTCGATCATCTGGGAAAACTGTACCAGAAGCAACTAAGCAGGAAGATGCAGAAAGTAAATCTCCTTGCAAGAAGCCCCTGTTATGTGATGTGAAAGAAAAGAAGGCACCTGGGTAAGTATCAGTTCCTTTCCAAGTCTGGGTTGTTGGGAGTCAGGTCAGTTCAAAATGCAACTTACCAGGCAATGCAGTACAGTGATCTGTTCATGGAACTCTTGCAATTGGGGGGAAGGAGATAGAAGTTCTTCAGCTGTTTTTGTATTAGAAACAGAGGATGAAGGAATGTCACAATGTGTTTAAGAACTGGGAAATACATATCAGAGAGGTGAGGAAAATAACAGAAGTCAGAGAAATTATTGGAAGTTGAGAGTGTACTGCCCTACCTCTGTGGAAAAATATGTTATTGTATATGTACAAATATGTACATACATTTAAAAATGAAAAGCAGTTTCCTAACTCTCAGGATTTGGAGTATCTTTTTGGCAAAAAATGACATGAGATAGTTTCCAAGCTTACAGTGGAAAATAATATTGATGGTATAAACAGGCTATCTTTGAAACTAAAAAGATACAATTCGGTGTTTTGATGGGGATCATAGAATCACAGAATGTCAGGGGTTGGAAGGGACCTCTAGAGATCATCTAGTCCAACCCCCCTGCCAGAGCAGGATCCCCAAGGGCCAAGGGCAGCCACACAGGAACGTGTCCAGGCGGGTTTTGAAAGTCTCCAGAGAAGGAGACTCCACAACCTCTCTGGGCAGCCTGTGCCAGTGCTTCATATTGAGGTGTTTTCATTAAGAGAATAACAACCTGATGCCAACTTTGAACTACCAAGAGGCTTTGCAGTTTGTTTGAATGGTTTGAATACATGAGTGACTATCTGCATTTTAACATCTAGCTTTTGACATTCTTTTGACATTCTTTATGTATCTAGCTTAGTCAGAGCCGACTTGTAGTTGAATAAACTTCCTTTGAAAAAGGCATGAAAAATAATGTTCACAACATTACGTAGATATGAACTGCTAGAGTTATAAAATATTGAGCATCTGGTTATTGCAATACCCAGTGGATCTTTTTAGATGTGTATTCAAAGTACATATGCATAATTGAAGACATAGATTCATATCCTTGTGTGCTCTTTAGCTGCTGAGCATGTAGTGTGGATTTAATTATGTTTGACTTCAGCGGAGTTGTGTAAACCTTCATATTCCAGGTAATCTTATGTTTACTGAGGAACCAACCACATACAAACCCAACCATGAGATTTATTTTGTTGTGTTAACTCAAAGTGATACTCAATTAATCTCCAGTTCCTTTTTTTTTTTTATTACTTGTAAGAGATATCTGCGTGTACAGAGAGTTACACTAAAAAATTTTGAGTTACAAAAATATGTGTGTAAACCACAGTCTGTCTCTCTGGAATGTTCCTGAGATTAAAATTCAAGATAAAAATTACATGCTTACAATATACTCAATTTTAATTTGAAATTATCTTTATACTATCTTCAGATAGAGTTTCACTGTAATAGGAATTCCCTTCTGGAAATATTTACAGTGCAGGAAGGTGGACACTCAAAACGATACCACCTCCTAAAGGAAAAAGCAATTTATCTTCCAACCCCTTACCCCAAATTTTGAATTCATTATACTATATTGTATTTAACTAGTGAGTTAAAATTTCTGGATGTATGTTACTATGAAAATTGTCCTCAGGAAAATAGGAAGATCCATGTTTCCTCACAGGCATTGGTGATCTGTCTTCCATATGTTGAATTACAATAATAATTTATTTTGGCTTCACAATTACTTGCCCTACTTTGTAGCGTCTTACTTCAGAAGTTTTCTGTGTTTGTGGAGGTTAGGAAAGTAATTTTTAAGTGAGGAAATGCAGGTGATATGTCTGAGGAAGGTACTGTGGAGAAGTCCGTTGTGGCACAAGGAGGCATGCCCACTGTCTGCATTCCACTGATGTGGCTTCTCGTACCATCATTATTTGTGTCCTACCATACTACAAAGGCTGGATTTTCCTCTGTTTTGTTTGTTTTGCACCATTGTGTTAAACATATTTCTATTCATGTTAGTGAACTTGGCGTTCTCAGCTGATTTATTCCCAAATGCTTACTTGTATTGAATAGTATAAATAGTATTTAGTATATAAATTGCATGTAATAGTATAAATGTAAACAATGGAATCTAACAGGTCTGTTTCTTACATTGATTTATGTTTTGAGATTAGCTGATCTTGATGTGTAGCAAGGTGTTAGCTCTAGTTTGGCTTCTTATCTTGTCAGCTGCTTCTCTGGTAGATAGTAAAGCATGAGTTCACGTAATGGGCTTTCTTGTAGCCTTAACTTTAAAATCATTCTGTCTGGTGCCTGTTTTTAGAAAATGTTCATTATGTGCTTAGTATATCTGAGAGCTCTGCATCTCTGGTGGCTTAGTGAGATTGGGCCAACAGTGTTTTCAAGTTCTTAAAAGCAGAAGGAAATAAATAGATGCATAATGTTAACAAGTTCATATGAGCTTTCTCTCCGTAAGAATCCAGGCTGGGGATGGTTCGGAGGACAGGATTTGAAAAGGAACTTCCCAGGGGCTCACTTTAAGATGCAAATACACTCACCCCCCTTTGAGAAGTTCTCTTATTTCCACCTCCTTTGCCAAATTCTTCTGAAGGCAGTCCCTTTTTCAAATGTTTCAGCTGGCAAAGCCGAGGGAGCAGCCACAGGCAGCAGGCAAAAAGCAGCTTCTTTAGCTGGATGAGAAGTAATGCAAAAACAGTAACAAAAGAATACAGATATTTTTAGTAGGATCATTAAGAGCTGCACAGCAGTGTGTCAGTGTAGTACAGGAGTTGGGGTAGGGTGGAGATGAAGGTTGGGCAGAGAAAAAGGCATAGGTGTTGTTTCAGACAGCTGCTGTAAATGGCCTGGAGAGCCAGTAAGGCTTTCTAAGAGATGCAGATATGTGTGTATTCTTCACTCTTCCCATCCACTGCTGTGGACACATCCGCTGCCTTCATTTGTTATTTTCCAATTTCAGTTATGAAGTCAAATGTCTTGATATGATTTACGTATTCTTAGTCTACACTACTCTTGAGTCTTCATTGCAAAATTAGGTCAGCAGTCATACCATCTGTGGGAGTTAGAAATTTGATCCACTCTTTTTTATTTTATGATGCTACAGCATCCCTTGTGTGGGAATCCTGGTGTGTTAATAGCATTGTTAGCAAGAAATTTCATCATGCTTAGTGATTTTTATGATGTATTAATAAAAAATGAACGTCTTATTTTTCTCAGTGGAATACTACAAACAAAGGACTCCATAAAGAGCAAAGAGTGTGAAGAAGAGGAGACAGAAAACAAGCTGCTCATTTCAAATGAAATTAAAGGTAAATTGGCAGTACTTAATTTGTTTCATATTAAAATCTGCAGAACTGAAGAAGTGTGATATTCCTGGAAATTCTTCTTGAAACTACATTGCAAGATATTTTCCACATTTGCCGTTTGTGTCCAAAAAATTCCTGACAGCAACACTTTTTTGTTTCTTCATCTTGTAATCATCAGAGCCTTTGCCAAGAACTTTATCACAGTTGTAAAGATGAGTGCAAAATGAAGACTGGTATAAAAAGTTACATTTCAAGAATATTTTTCCACTAATTTAAAAATAGGTAAATAAACCAGTCCAAATTATAAATGTATAACATTCACTTTGCTGCTTCAAAAGTTAAAGATTTGCACGTTACAGACAAATTACTGTTACAGGTGACTTACTGAAGCTAACCTCTGTTCATTGTGCAGTCTGATACTTTCCAGCGGCCCATATGCAGAACAGGTCTTTTTCATGAGTGTTACAGAGGGATGACTGAAATATTTACTTCACTGAAAAACTGGAGGCAGTCCAGTGGAGGGCCGCTGATATGATTAGGTGGTTGAAGGACTTGACATATGAAGAAAGGCTGTAGGAGTTTAAGAAGGAAAGACTTGGAGGAATCTAGTTACAGTCCTCCAGTAACTAAAAGGTAGTTAGAGAAGGTGAATGTACCTTCTCCTCCTGGATCCACAGTGGCTGGGAAAAGAGGGAGTGGACACAGGTTGCTTCAGGGAAAGTTCTAAATATAAGGAAGAAACTCCTCACCGTGAGAACAATTGGAATAGGCTGTCTGGAAAAGAGGTGGAGTCAGCTGGAATTATTTAGGGCTTGGCTTCAGAGAGCCCTGGATAATTTAGCCTAATGCCCTGCTCTTAACAGAAGGTTTCATCTCACCATCTCCAAAAGTCCCTTCCAGCATGGATGCGGTGATTCCGTGGGGTTTTGTGTACAACTCTGTCAAAACTCTTGGTTGTTCAGTGATCCACTTGGACAGATTGAGGTAGCTGTTACTCATTTTTAGCCTTATTGTTTAGAAAGAACACAGCACACATGCAGAATGTCACAGTCTTACATTTAATAATTATTTTGCATGTGTGAAACTTAGTATGTCAGACTAGTTATTAGACTGAGTCAGTGCATTGTTTCTTTGCAGGTTTTGCTGCAATATTTTTCTGAACTCATGCAAGTTCAATGAGAAGCTTAAATGTCTTCATTTCATTATTTAATTCCTTACATTATTAGATTTTTTTTTCTTCAACAATTTGCCGTGCGACACAAAATTTGTAAGACTTCCATCAAAACTCTTTGAGATTTGAGTAACCGTGGTTATTTAAGGGCTGCATTTCTTACCTATTAAGGGAGGTCATCTGTGTAAAACTCAGGGAATTTTTTAGACTAGTAGAGCACTGTACAAACATAAAATTAAGGTAAGGTTTTATTTTTAGTTGTTCACCTCTGATACATTTCTTTATTTTAAAACACTGCCAACACTTTTCACATGAAATCTAAGAGGCACTCTGAAGACAGTGTGAAGTATGAAACATTGTATCTATTACAAGGGCTGTGCAAAAGGTGTAAAATATCCAGGAAAGATGATGTAATTCAGAATTCTGGAGAAAATGAAACATTAAGAGAAGAATCTTTCTAAAGCAGATGAAAGGAAGAGAGGTTTTGGTGATTTGGAGTATTTTATTTCAGCAGAATTAAAACAGTGTTTTGATGTTGACTTTTCATTATACAACATAATACAAAAAAAATTAAAATCACTTAGTTCATAGAATTTTAAATTGTCTGCAATTATTTTTTTCATCCTAAGAAAACTGGCCTGATTTTGTAAAGCGTTTTGAGTTTGGCAGAACTGACTGGTTGGATGAAGTTTTGCCAGCAAGCTCTACTTACTAGGACACATTTCTGTGTAGGGTCTTGCATAATTAGGTAGAACTAGAACACTTTCTTACATTATTGTTGAACAAAGTTATCCTATTTACCACCTTTTTTGTACATTTAATTTTGTGCCATTATTTATTTAAATGTGCCATAGTAGTCTAATTACAGAATTGCTAGAACACTAAGTTCTTACTGTTACAGTAATGCAAGCTCAAGCTAAACTAATTGTAGTTGTGCAGACTTGTGAATTGTGACTGCTGATACCTGTGCTTGTTGCCCTGTTTTTATTACATGTCACTTACATTATTATTCTCCAACCTACTTTTCCCACATGCACTCGACCAGTTCTTTACTGATACTTTATAATACGTGTACGGCTATTTCCCTTTCTGAGAAATGTCACATATTTTCTCTGTCCCACAAACACAGATTGCCTCCCTATGGGAAGCCGGGCTTGCAGAGGGAAGAATACCAGCCTGTGAGGGTAGGGAGAGCTTTCAGATGTCTGGTATTACAGACATGAATTGTAGCTGAAATACTGTGCTTTTCACTATCTTTTGCAAGAAGTTACCCACGCTAAACCTAAACTTTCTTTTGTCAGGGATGCCGTTAAACCTGCTGCAGGGTTGGGAACTATTTTTTTTCTTTTCCTCCTGTCTAGTTGGATAAATTGGCACTTTACAGGCGGGTAGGCAGATGTGACACAGGCTGAGGCATTTTTGCCCTCATCCTCAAAGGCATTAGGCACTGCATTCCTTTACATGTCAGTAAATAGAGCTCTTGAATGTGAATAGGTGGAGTACAAGGTTTAGCATTTGCCATGTCACGTTAGTGAACTTAGTTTCTGCTAACTTCATTCATAACCAGCTGATTTATCTTTGCTTGAAGTTTTCAAAAAAAACCAACCCCACAACATGGACAGATGCTCAGTATAGGTTTTTCATCTGGAACTGTTAGGATTTGACACAGCTGTAAAACAGTTGAAAATAGAGACATACGGGATAGATGGGTAACCCTGGATGTGAGTCCTTCTACTGCCTGTACATGCACCTATGTGGTTTTACGTATACATGTGTTTAAACGTGTGCAAATATGGAGTGCAATTTGCTTGAAATTTCCTTCCCACGAAATTGCCATCTGCTATTTCTGTTGCACTATCAATGTATTACATGTGTCATGAAGGGAAAACAAAAAAAATAGCTGAATAATATTTTCAGCTCATGAGGCTTTATTAGAAAGAAATAGTCTGGAGATGAGGATGTGTAGGGGATTCAAGGGAACAATGAGAGAGATACTACTCATTAAAAAAGACTTCACGTTCAGCTTATTGCCTTACAAGACTACTTCCTTTCTCACTGAGATTTTTAGTGGTAGTAGAAGCTCTAAGAAACATTTGAAGAACAACAGTGAAGTGTAAACAGGCATTTTGGGAACTCACTTCTAAAACTAAGAACATGATGCTAGGAAAAAGTTAGAAGTCCATTTAAAAATCTCATCAGTGGGCTGACAATACTGAGTAAGTGGCTTAAGGGTCAACTTCTGAATAGTTGTCATTGATATAAAATGAGGGCAAGTCTTGAAAGTAACAAAAATTTAAGCTAGAGTGGCAGAACAACACAAACAAATGAGATGATCACATCCTATATTGGCCACATTATATATTCTGGACCAGTCCCCTGCTGGTAAAAATGTGTAACAGGAGTTCGTGCCCTAGTTGTTGGGCACAAATATATGAAAACTAGAACAGTAAGTGTAGGGAGAACTGTGAATAATAGCAGCTTCCCAAAAATGAAAATAGAATGAAGCTGTAATAGAAGTGAGCTATCCAAATAAAAATAACATGAGTTTTTTATGAGTGATTGCATGGAGCCGTGTTAGTATGGAATATTAGGCATGGGTTCTTTGTTGGCTGTTCTGTTCCAGAATAAATTCCAGAGGTTTTCCATAATTTTACTCAGCAGTTGGGAAGCATTCAGGCCTGAGTTCATAGCAGGCATGTTGCTTTTGGATTCGCAGTGGATTTAAATGAACTTAGATGTCTTCGCAGTTTGATGTCATTCAT